AGCTAATAATGATGCTGTCTGACACGCATATATATATCCAAGTGTCTATGTGTGTGTGAGTCCATCTGTGAGTATGTTTATCAGTATTTTTGTGTGTGCTTTTGGCCATTGAAGTGTCCGTGTGCTTCATGTGTTTGGGCTGATTTGCAATAGCCTCTATGAGGTTGCAGTGAATTTATTTGGTGTGACAGAGGACGACCTTGAGCCATTGCTACTGGTGAATGTGTCAGATTCAGGCAATGGACCTAGTTATGTGTGTTTGTGTGGTTGTTGGTATGCATGCATAATGTCCAAAAATGGCTACTCTCAGCTTTGTCATAAAATGTGACAGGAAATGGCTCTTCTTTATCGCCCTGGAAGATGCTGTTTTTATCACATCCACTTTGATTATCCTAGTCAAAGGGAGCCAGCAGAGTGAAGATTCAGTTTATCATTACTCACTTTGAACTCGATTGCCTCATGTTCGTTGTTATATTCACAAACGGCAGTGAATCAAAATATTTCCGTTGATCGCCTGACCTTTTTTGAATTCTCGGACTCACAATGGCATTTGAAATCATCTGCACAATGCTTCCTTTTCTTAAGAGAATCTCATGTTCTGTACTCTTGAATCACCGGAGGGGATGTTTGCCAGGTTTGACGGACAGTTCACAGATGGACATGATTACACACACACACACACTTCAGAGTCCTTGTTTCAAGTCTGTTGAATCACCTAATAAACACGTTACTCTCAGTCATAATGAGTGGTCTCTTCTGTGCTTGCAACTCACATTTAAAGGGCCAGTTCACCAAAACTACACTAATTAAAAGTGACTCCTAGTAAAGCCATTTACATTTGATCACTTCTCTTCTACCACAAATATCCACTTCAGAGGAAGTAGTGCAGCGTTATTTGATGTTTATCACGACTTTATCTCCTGCTCCCCCCTCTGTATCTCTTAATCTGTCTGCATGGCTCCCCCTCCCCCTCTGTTCCTCTCTTAAACCTGTTTTCGGGGCCTTTCTGTAGTTTGTCCCTGATTAGATCAGTTTATTCCCTGATTCCACTTGACAGAGACAGATAGCTCACAGACTCCACAGCATAATCTAAAGCCACAAAGTCTCTGTCCGGCTGGCACCAGCTGCATCTTCTCCTCTCTGATTGAAGCCACGCTTTACTGCCCGCATGTGAACTTAGTTAAAAAGGCCAGAGGTCAGTGAGAGGGTAAATCTGTTTTGCATTTCACGAAAGTGCCCAAACTTTGACTAACTTTAAATGAGTAAAATACAAATGTAGTCAGGGCGCCAAAGGGAGACACGAAAGCACTCAAATGTATGCAAGACCGGCTGCCAGCCTCCCATGAGTCATGCCACATGAATGCATATCTAATGTACTGTCCAAGATAGTGATCAGCAACTGGGAGGGGTTTTAAGACACTGTATATCTAAGTCGTAAAGATGCCTCTTGAAGATGGAGCTCATGGATATGTGTAAGTAATGGATGTGTCTTTTTGCACAAATGAAACCTGGAGGGGATTGACTAAACCCTTAAAAAGATCAGTGTGTTGTGGTCACGTGTCTATTTGCACATGTGTGATGTAAAATCCCACAATCCCAGACTACCCACAGCGTCGGTGACCTCTCCAAAGGTCCTGGTCGTAACCCTGTCTTGCTTGATCCCTGAAATGGTCTCACCCCGAGAGAAGAGACGGACTCCACCACATTCCACTCATTCCTGGTTGTTAAAAATAAGACCTCTTTAAAGTCAGCCGAGACTAGCTTTCCTAAACTCACAGAGTGGTCATTGGCAGGTTGGGAATCAAAAGCAAGAGGAGGTTTTCCCCCCCCCCGCATTGCACACAAAGCAGTTTATGTTAAGCAAACAATAAAAAAAGTAGTTTAAAAGAGGCTTTGTTTCCATAGCTGAGCTTTTATCGTCTCTTTGCTTGATTTATCTTGTGCCATTTCAAGTGAAAATCATGATAAAGTATGCCAAATAACTGCAACATCATCTTCCTGGTATTAAGTTTTCTCCTCAAAAATAAAAAAGTTGTCCATCGTGCGTGACAAATTACGGCTGAACTCAATACCCTCTGTCTGCACTCACACAATGTCATTTGAAGCTAAAACTGAAATATCACCCGGAGCAAGGCGGGAACATGTAGTTCAAGGTGAACAACTCGACTTTGCGGTGTTGACGTAGAGGACGCCTGGAAAAGCTTCAGTACGGAGGCTGATGAGACTTGAATGGATGAAGAGGCTTTGCATCTGTGTGCTTTCATTCTGAAGAGTGCTGCTGGATAACCTCCAACTTTGGGGAAATGTAACCACTTTGCAGTATCTATATCTACTTTGTGTGTGCATAGCTGTGTCCCTGCAGGAAAAAAAACGTTTTATTCAAGCTCATGGTACCAGGAAGTCCCATTGGGATTAACCAAAAATACACTTACAAGAGAGACCTGTACAAGGTCTCCAACTTCCAAAGAGTTGAGTTTTATTTGCACATGTTTACTGCTGTGCTAATAGGGTCACCAAACTTAGTGCAAACACTGTATTTGTGTGGTGTCTCTTCCCAGATCGTAATGACATCATCCTTAAAAGGATAGCATTCAACATGGAACAAATTACAGAAAGTAAGGAGACTTCTTGGAAAAGGCCTCCACCCATTTTGTGTTACTTGTAAAAATGTCTCTATAGCAGAACACGATGCATAAGGACACATTTTTACCAACTAGTGATTTTTGATTATACTTGCCTTTGCCTTGCAGCTATTGTAAAACTAACACTGAGTAAACTACAATTATAATCAATTTAATTTCTAGTATTTCAAAAGCAAGCCCACACATATCAAGTTACAAACTAAAAATGTGGTTAATGAATTCAGCCTTTTAGATCCATCCATCATAATAATCTTATAGAATAGAACAGTGTGTGTGGTTATATTTTCCTTCTTGGGGATCTAGCAGTTTTCACAAAGCCTGTCTTCCTCTCGCAGGGAACTGACCCGAGTTGGAAACTTTTTCCTTGTCCTTTTCCAAAAGTGCATTCTTAAGCAGCAGCCTCACCTCGACTGATCCCACTCCAACTGCTAGACACACACCGCCACAATCCCCACCACAGCACACACACACACACACACACACACACACACACCAAATCTGTACATGGACCTAACAGTCCACCCAGGATTAAAGTTAACAATAAATAGCATCCACACCACTGCTAATGACCATGATCAATGGAAATCAATGGAATTAGGGAGATCTAAGAAGATTACATTTTCACTGTATTAACTTAATCAACTTTAAATTGACCTAACACGTCGTCTAAAACACTTTATCTATATCTATTAAAAGGTGCATTCAAGTTTGGAACCACTTTCTAAAACGTATCAAACCTAAACCAACCGTTTAAATGTAATGCATAAAACTTCTTTGTTTTCCAAAAACCTCTATAGGATCCTGCATTCTAGGATACAGGATGGAGTTAATCCATAGTCCTCTGCAATGTTCTAAACTTCCAACTCCATGACTCACTTCCCAACGGCAAAATGTCGGGGATTATTTGGGATCTAGCGACCAACGAACAGATTTCAAAGTCCTTCGAGTCCCATTTCTAACCCATCACACACTCTAGAAAGTCCTAAATAATGGTTGGCTCTGACAATTCTTTTTTTGGCTTCACGCTTGTTTCTGTTATGCACAATTGGCAGGACTAAGAGCAGCATCCTCCGTGAATCAGACATGACCGTGAGGTATAGTTTGGAGCGAGAGAGCTGAGGACTGCTGATCAGACTTTGCACTCAGTTTGGCAGGGCAGAGTGCTTTGTGTGGGAGGCTGAATGACTGACTAGAGATTAATTTAAGCTGCTTTCCTTGTGGGCCGCATAAAGAAAGGGGGTTGTTTTTTTTTTTTACGAGAAGCGGCCAAAACAGCTGAGGTTTCAAGGTAGAAGGGGAGACAGGGGAGGGACATTAAAAATTACAGAGACTGAATTGATGCTGGGGACGTGTCACGGATGCAAAAGTGGAAGCAGATGAAGGATACAGCAACATCTCAAATAGTGGCCTTTTAATACCTTCAACTACAGAGATCCATCCACTTGAAAGAGGCTTATTATATAGACATTTGGGAGTTGCTGTCATTGGTTTTTGTGGTGATATAAATCCAACTTCTGCATGAGCTTTTATAAAAATGTATGTTTCACGTCTGTGAACAACTTGCATTGGCAAGTCGGACAATTGTTAGTATGTCTTTGATGACTCTCTTTTGGTATTCATCAAGGGCGAGAATTATTCTAAATCCACCCTTATAGCAGGTCATTTCCACCCCAGTAGTGTTTTTCAACCCAGCCTTTTTAAAGATGTGACACGAGCCTTCTGTTGGACGGAATTGTCCCACCCTCTGCACGGAAAATGGATGTCATGGCTCCAATGTGAGTAATGCATACAACTGCAACTGCTGGAAAAGTTCAACTAGATGAGATTGCACCAAAACAGGAAAGACATGCTTGAATTTCACTGAAGTGAATGGGAGGACTTGGGGAGGGGCCGTGCTTTATTTCTTCCTGCTGGGCATAAAACACAACGGCAGATTTGAGACGCAGCGGTACAAGGCGTTCAGATCACGGTGAGGTCCTTTTAACCGAAGCATGATGTATAACCTGGCTTTGGATGTGTACACACACACATGTCCACATATGACTTTGCATGCAAGCCAGTGTTTAAGCAAGGACATGCACACACACTTACTCACGTATGGCTGCAAACTCACACACTTGCACACAGCCGGGCCAGACTCCGCCCCCGGTGGCTCAGTGATTGGCCTACTTAAAGGCAGGGCAGCCTACTGGCAGATTTGAATACAGGGACACAGAGAGGGAGGGATGGACATGAGGAGGAGGAGGAGGAGGAGGAGGGGAGATAGAGAGGGGGGTGGTTTGCTCTCTCCCTCTCTCTTTCTCTCTCCCTCCCTGCCGGGTCAGGATGGAAAGGCTTACACAGGCAGGGGAGGAAACATGTCATGAGAGGTGATGACACAGCCACGGAGACAGATCCACATCCTCGCTGACTCCCAGGTTCTCCGCTCGCCGCTGCGTCTGCTGCGTCCCACAGAGCAGAGAGAGAGCCAAAGATAGCCTCCTCTCTCCCCCTCTCTTTTTTCACTTTGTTTGTGGAGGATTTTAATCATGTGGAAGGTAAGAGGAGGGAGCTTGTTTTTGTGTCCTTTCGCAGACTGTACACAGGGCCTGTCTCTGGGGGAGTTTGTGTGCTTTTTTAGTTTACTTAAGTGTGTGTGTCCCTGGGGGATTCCCGCATGCTTTCACCCTCCGTCTCAGGTTTTCTTCTCAGTGGGAATGTGGAATGGGACCTTTGAGTGCCAGCAATACAGGAATGATAATGATAGAGCAGTGGCTTCGGGACGCAGCCAATGAAAGCGGTGGAGCCATCTGTATCATGGTCAGGGAGAAACTTCTGTAGTAACCAAATGTAGATGTTTAACAATGAGTTACGAATGAGTCCTGGAGTTCGGAGGAAGTTTAGTTATGTAAAGAACTTCAATTTTCTGTTTCATCGTCCATGTTTATTCCCTGAAAAGTGTAATAACTTGATGCTGAATTGTTTGGATTTTTGGAAATGGTTGTGTTTGAGTGAAAATGGAAGATTCACTGGTATGGACTGTGACACTTTCAGATATTGACCCAACACACACATCCAATTATGTGTGTGGTGGTGGCGGGGTGGGGGTTGGGGTCTAGGTCGTATATGAGAGTCTGTTTTGCGTGACCTAATTTCAAGGAGCCACTGTGTTTTGGTGCTTGCTTAAAGCCTAAGATACATAAAGATTGAAGACAGCGCCTTGAGGGATGCTTAAAATGTGTGTGTACTTCAGAGTGCTGTGTGTGTGTGTGTGTGTGCGTGACTTTAAAAGGTCCTGAATGGTCTTTTATGCACTTAAGAGGCAGCATGTCTGACAGTGTTATTTAACAGTTAAAGGGGAAAGCTGGACGGGACTTTTTTCTAATGTTTTCAATGTGTATGTGAATGTAACACAGCGTTATGCTCATACAGCCACATGCTATACACTCTGCATGTCATTCTTCACTCCGTCAGTTTAAATGAATCACCCAGATGTCAGATTATTCAGTTGCACAGCCTCTCCTGTGTGCTGAGGCGTGTTTATGAGTGTACAGTAACTATGCAAGTGTGTGTGCATGCGTCTTGTGGGCGCTGAAGCGTGTGTGTGTGTGACAGCTGGCTGCCACAGGCTCAGTGCTACTACTACTGATCCCTGTTCACCGGCTCCGGGTCACACGGATCAAGGAAATCCAGGTTCAGTGTTCGATCTGTCGGACAATGAGAAACTGAAGGAAGGGAGGCCACTGTACTGGGACTGTGGTTTAAGGGAGGATGCAATTAAAATAAACTTGTGCAACTTTCGTGGCAACTTCTTAAGATTTTAGTCTGACATAATGCAACATTCTGTACTAAAAGTACATGAAAAGTCTCAAATCTGTCGCACAATTAACCAGATTTGACCTACACCATATGTGTTTAGATCACATATGGGTCTTAAACAAAGTTGCTTTCAGGCCTTCAAATCCATAAAAGCTTGCAGGTTGCCACATGCATCCCACATTTGCTTTGACAAACAGAGACAAGGAAGGCTATGTCTGATGTTTTGTTGGTGGTTGTCACTACACCGACCGATATAGCAACAATAGTATTGTTTGCCGTTTCTTTTCCTGTTTCCCCCGACACTTTTTAGTGGCATTGTCAGCCTGGGCGTGCAATCATCTCAGCTCTCGGATCCTTCTGTTTTTAAACCTGAAGATTAACTGTGGGAACCACGTAGACAAATATAGCCCTGGCTGTATTGTCATGTCTCTTCCTGAGTGGGGCACATCTGTCACTTTGTTTAGGCTTGGTAGGGGGAAAGGTGCCCTCTTGGGTGTTGTTGCCGTAATCACGAGAAGAAAAAAACAACCTTGTTGTTGGTTGCTGATAGCATTAGCCCCCATGTTGCCCTCTAAATATCCTGCTATCATGTTAAAATGGGGAGGTGTAACTCAGACTCTTATCTCCCCCTAATTGGTTAATTTGATCTTCAAAGTGTCAGCAGTCTCCCACCTCAGACGCTGGAGGGGCTAACTGCTAATTGCTATCTAAACATCCTTCAAAAAAAGAAGACAGACTGGAATACTTTTTCCCTCTCTTCCTCCCCCCCCTACTTCCACTCCAGTTCAGTTCATTTTATTCACCCCAGTGCGTTCTTTAATCACCAACCGCATAAGATGAGAGTGCAATGTTGCCATGGAAACTTGTGACAATGAGTAAAAATCGGTTTTGTGGGACTTGGCAGCGTGTGCAGTCCTGTGGTGAGGATAAGTGATTCCTCAAACTTTTTTTTCCTACAGTGTGCTGTAGTAGGCTTGTTTCTGGTGCCATTTGTCGTATATATATACATTTGTTTGCTTTTTTAGTGCTAAAAAGTTGCCTTTTGTGTCATATTACAAAGTGTAACCCTTAACTCACATAACTTCCTCACAAAACTCACCACTCTGCATATAAGACTGTCCTCCAACTTGCCAAACAAAGCTCACATCCTTTGAATTATTTAATAAAAACATGACCTTTTACAGCTTTTCCTTTGGAACCAACAGCTCTGCCTGACAAACAACCTTCACAGGTGTCCCACGCAGCTCGGTGTTAGTCATTTCCCTCACCAGATTGTGAGTTTGAAGATATGTCGCAGCCATTTGATATGCATCAAGGCTTTTTGGGTAATCTGCTGCAGACCGGCAGATGTTCAAAAAGTCAGATCACATACTTTTGGAAGATCTGCCACTCGAGGGGCCTCTCAAACTCAATATCATCGTATGTGTGTTTTTTGACATTCCTTCCCTTCAGATTGAATGTAAACACAGATCATGTCGAGTCTCACTTCACTCTGAAAAGTCATACTCCAAAAATGCACGCTTCAAAAGCCTGTGTAATTGTAAGCATATTCCAAAGCCGTCCATATGGTGGGTGTTTTGGTATAAAGGTGCTCTATGAAGCAGGGTCATTGTAGACATGCTCAGGTTAAACTGAGGTCACATGTGCAGAGAAACAGCTTTTAAAGGAAATTCCACTCAACAGCAACTCTTAACAAAGTTCCTATATCATCAAGATGTGTCTCTCCATAATTGAGACCTTATTTTCTTATTCTTAGCTCCATAAAAACCCTCTTCCAAAGAGCTATTTAATTTTGACTGAGTAAGTGGGGATTTGAACACTTAAGTATTTCAACAAGTTACATTTTTTTAAATGAGGAAAATACTGAATCAAGAAAAAATAATGTAAAGAATAATACATAAATTGAAAATTGCATTCAAAAAAATCTAAAGAAACATTTTCAAATTATGAAATGCACAACAATAATGTTAAGAATGATACATAAATAAAACAATACACACAAATAATGTAAATAGTAAATAAATTAAGAAACAGAAAGAGATAGAAAAACAGGTGTCAATAATAACATTTAAAAAAAAATATTCTGCACTTGGAAAAATTGGATTGCAAATGATTCAAATACGGCACTTTGGCGGTGTCTACTTTGAAGTTAACATGACTGTCTTTGCAGCATATGTATTTATATTCATCCCACTACTGATGTGTGTATATATGCATTAAGTAGCTCACCTCGTCTGCCAGCTCTCTGGGGCCGCTTTAATGCTGAAAACATTTCATTATCCAATCAGAGTCACGATGATAATTTAGCACATTGGGGAATTACCGCTGTTTAATCACTTTCCTCTCCACCAGGGGATCCTAAGCACATATTTTGAGGCAACATTATAGAATAATTGTGATCACAGAGGGAGGCGTTAACTAAATGTGTCTGAAAAAAAATATATAGAACAAGTATGCTCATCAGTTATTGCTCCATCATCCAAGGCAGCACTTTATCTATATCCCCCCTTGGCACATGTTTAAATAAAGACTAAAAGAAACAAATAAGTATCACATGTTTGTCTTTTCAGTATCAGACACAGTCACCTTCATTATTCAAGATACAACAAGCACTTTCATTTCCATCTCACACTCTCCTCCCTGTGTGTGTGTGTGTGTGTGTGTGTGTATATCATGGGGTGTGGAGATTAATGACCCTGATTCAATACGTCCTTGACATCACCAGCCTTGTTTTTGTCCCCTACTGTATAATCTCTTGTCCCCAAACATCACATCTCATTTCACATGCAGCTCTACACACAATCTGGGTCACACAAGCAAGAGTCCAGACAGACCCTGCCACACACACACACACAAACACACACAGAAAATCACAAATGTCACCCTTTATCATAATCACTAATAGCCTCGGCATCCCTGGCTACGACCAGCCAATCCTGTTAGGTGTGACTGACCGCTTCGCAACATGAAAGGCCACCATTGGTCACGGCTAGTGTGGTAGGAAGCGGATTAGCGATCAACATGGCGGGGTGTCTGGAATCAGACAAAGACATAATGTGTGTGTGTCTAGTTAACTGGACAGGGCAGAGGAGAGGGAGTTGAGATGTGAGGAGATGAGGGAGATTTTTAAAGCTAATTCTCCTTTGATTTTGACTTCAAACACTACCTAAAAGTGTAGTTTTTAACTAACTATTTCATTGCGCTCCCACCTGCAAGCCGATATGCAGTGTAGACGACATTTAATTCATTTCTTCCAGCACTTGGGCGGCACAATTTACTTCCTACAAGCAGTGCCAAAGACAAACATTTAGCAAGGAAACGCTTCAGAATAATATTTAGCTCCACATGCCAGGGAGCACTTTCTGTTTGGCTGCATCTGAACACCGTGTGCTGGATGATGACATTCTTGTTTTCCGAGCAAAATATAAATCTGCAAGGAACATTGCTTTGACCTTGGCCCTGGAGAGCGTGACCCTGAAAAGACAACGTGTTCTCCACGACTCCGTGAGGTCGAGGTTAATCTCTCCATGCGGGCTATCCGCTGTTGCTATGAAAGCAGATTATGAATCACAAATCCCATAAGCGGGTTGAGGGTTCTTTAAAATTATTCGACAGAAAGAGAGGTAAACAAGGTGTGGAAATGTTTACAGTAGATGTTGAAGAGTGGGGACGTTTTTAAAGGTTGTGTTTTATAATTCAGGAAAAGTTTCAATCATTTATGCAGGGTTTCACAAAAAAC